CACCATGGGCTCCCATGGATGTTTCAGATCCTGCATTCCCAGATCCAGTACATCCCCCAAATTTGCTTCCAACATCCCTCCCAGGCATCCTATCCTTGCCTTGCTGTTCAGCACTTGCATCCTGCTGCAAACCCAAGACCATCTGGGCTCCTGCAGTGGCCACGATGGGTAATGGGTTATGTTTTGTTCTTTTTTTTTTTTTTTAATTCCACTGGCCAGTACAGCTCCCCCACTATTTGGGTCTAAATGGATGTCATCTGTCTAATGAGCCTATGTTCATGTTCTAGATTTAAAGGCAATCCTCCATCCATTGCTGATACGATGTTGTAGATTAGCGAGTTTTAAGCAGTTTTAATGGTGCAATTTGCTTTTCACACACACTGATACCTGCCTTCTGGCAGGTGGGCTGAGGGCTGGACCATGTAGCTGTGACCCTGTGGGCCTTCCCCACCATCATCCTCAGCAACATCCCTCCTGCATGAGGCAAGGCTGGAGCAGCAGCTCTAGGCTCTGCGAACCCGCACGTGGGAGGCATCAGCCGCTGCTGCGAGGAACCTGGGCATCCTCAACACTGTCCTGCCCCTCTCCTTTGCTCTTTGGGATGCTGAGCATGGCACAGCCACCTGCTTGGGCAGGTGAGGGTGTCTGCAGCATCCCTGTGGGCAGCACCTACCCCCAGGGTGATGTTGCAGCTGTCTGAGAGAGCCCATCGACAGGGTTTACCTTTCCCAGGAGAGAAACTGGAAAGGGGTGAGAGAAATGCAGCGTTTGTGGCAGGAGGTAGCATAGCCTTTGAGCCTCTGGTTCTGTTGGCAGCTCCAACAGAAAAGTGCCAGAGGCCATTGAAGAAAGGAGAGCATACTGGAAAATGCCTCTTTTTGCCCCCAAGCCCCCAGACTTGCTTCACAGCAAGCTCCTTGCAGCCGCATGTCTCCCTCCATGCACCCCAGGACTGTCTCCAAGCATGCGGCACGCGAGCTCTGCGGGGCCTGCCGCTCACCGTTGCTCCCTGTGTTTGCTTCCACAGATGGCTAACCCCGTGCCGTCAGCCTGCTGCGTGGTGCTCGCCGCCGTGGTGGTCGTGTACGCCCAGAGGCACAGCCAGCAGGGTGAGTCCCTTCCGACGTCCCCAGCCTTGCATTTCCAAAGATATCCACGCTGCCAGGACACTGTTGCTAAGCCCCTTGTCCTCCTTTGTTGTGCATGCAACAGGCCAGTCTGTAAGATGACAGTCCTGTTTTCTTAGACACCATGCAGTTGGCGTCCTGTGTCACATCTCCAGTGCATAATACCAGCCACACTCTGGCAGCAGGGAGAGCCTGCTCGGTGGTGTTGGATGACCCACCACCTTCCTGGGGCGCTTGCTCAACATGTTCGGATGCTGAGAGGTGGAATGACCTGGAGTGAAGGTGAGCTGGGTGCTGTGGTGCTTTCTTCAGAGGACTGAGGCTGCCAGGGCCATTGAATACCCAAGATAAGTCTGCCAGAACATCCCTTGGGTGTGTTGCATTGCTTCTCCAGTGCAGCAGCCCAACCCTGTCGCACAGGTAGATGCACAAGAGATGGAGGCGCTGGGTATTTCAGGGATATGTGCTGTGGAAATGTGCTGTCCAGACAGAGAAATGAATCACTAGTCCCTGCCAGCACTGGGCAGAGCCAAACATTTCAATGTTGGCAGGTGCGTGCATGTCTGAGAGAGGGGGTACAGGTAAAGCTGCTGTTCCAGGCCCTTGGCTCCTTGATCCTGCAAGCTTCAGGCAGCTTAGGCTCCCCCTCCCTCTGTCCCTCCTCCTTCCCTCGCCCTGACTGCATTCAGCAGGGAGATGTCTTGGATTCCAGCTCTGAGGAGGAGCTGCTGAAGCCTGATGGCGTCAGTGGGCATCTGGACTAAGTGCATGAATAAAGTAAGGCTCCCTCCAGCTACAGTAAGCAGAGAGGTTGCTCTGCAGTGGAAAAGAGCTCTGGGGAAGGTCAAAAGGAGTTTGGGTTCACAGAGTGAGAAAAAATGGGCATAAGAGTAGGAAGACGTCTAGTGGGGTAGTTCCACAATTGCTGGAAATCTGCTCTGAGGAACCTGCCTGCATCTCATGTGGACATTGCTCTGAAATGCTGTGGTGGGGCTGGGAGGGAGTTAGGGCTCTAGGCAGGTGTTTTGGAACAGAAGGTCCCACGCTGGGTGTCGCAGCCCCCAGCATCTGGCTCACAGGGCTGCAAGAGGCCACGGTACTGCTACCGATATTGGGATTGCCTGTCCGGTGCTGGAGAGCAAAGGGGTCTAAACCAAGACAACCTCCATCCCGATGGGGAGGAGTGGAAGGAATGTGCTGGCATGAGGTCCATTTGTAATGTGACTGAGGCATGCTCGACTTTAATAGCTCCTGAAGCACTTTAAGAGATGCATTAGCACTGCATACTTGAGTGAAGAGGATGTGACAAGCTGCTAAGTGAGGACGAGCATGGTGCTGGGAGGGCAGGCACCTGCTCCTGGCTCTCATGTGCACCTCGGTGATTGCTAAAGCGTCCTGCAAAGTGGCACATGAATTAATAACAGCAACATTGGGCTTTGCAGGGGCGAGGTTGCTCATGCATTAATTCCTTCGCTGCTCCTCTCCGGCCCCGTTTGCAGAGCTGGCAGACCACAGGTACATTGTCCAAGATGCAGGAGCTCCGCAAACTCTGGGGTTGGAGTGCTGGAGGAGGACAGAGCTAAGTGGATTTACAAGAGCTGCCATTCCTAGGTATCTTTCACCCTTCTACTCCTCCCTGAGTGCATCCCCAGCACGGTCTTGTTGCAGAGGACAGTTTTCTTCTGGTGGCACCCATACTATAAGCTCATGGTTTTTGAAAGTGCATCAGCGTGCCTTGAGGCTGGGTATCTGCCATGCCTAAATGCGTGATTCTTGCGGGAGGAACAGGCTGTGCTGCCCACAGGATCATTCCCTTATTGAGCGGGCAGGTGGAGCAGCCTGATGGGCACTGCTAGAGTTGAGGGGCACAAGCTAGAGTAGTTGGGCACAAGCTAGAGCTATTGAGCTAGGGTCTGCCATGGTGCCTTTTGCACCCAGAAGCTGCTGTGCTGTATTTTGCACTAGTATTGATGCTGTTTTGGGGCAGCTGGTGAGGAGCTCAGGTGCTGCTCTGCCAACAGCAGAGCAGGGAGCCAGCAGCTCCTGTGAAACAGAAGTTACACGGTGCACTCGCTGCTAATCCAATTGCTGCTAAACCAATCGCTCCACGCTGCTAATCCCATCATGCTGGGTGGCTCTGGCGGCCTCCGCCGACGCGCTCGGTTTTGCTGAGTGGGGCCAGTGTGGGTGGGATTGCTGAAGCTTGAGCTGACGTGCCGTTGAGTCCATGTCCTTCGCCCAGCCTGGCCGTGGCAGGAGGCTGGGGCCAGGCCCTGCAATGGGTCTGACAGAACCAGTGGTTGCAGCACATGTTTTGCAGCAGAAATGGGAAAAGGGAGGCAGCGCTGGGCAAGGCTGGCTGCAGGGAGAGCCCTGCCTCTGTGTGTCCCTGCCAGTATCTTCCATCTCCCATGAATCTGCAATACTCTCAGTAAAGCAGAGGGATAGATAAGAGTTGCAAGAAGGAAAAGATGGCTAAAGGCCATGTGGGAGAGCCTGGTATCCTCTGCCTTAGCTAGGGTGGCTCAGTTTTCCCTGGCATTTTTGTTTTTGTGTTTTCTTCCTTAGGCAGCAGTCTTTGCTGATTTGTGTCAAAATATAGGATGGTGATAGGAAAACCGCAGGGGAGAACAGAACTGAAGATGCCTGCTGTAACAGACAGTTTTGGTAGAGTGGGGCTCCAGCTGTGTCTCCCATCAACACTGAGATGAGCATTGGCAGAGATTTTCTCCACCTCAGTGCATAGGTGCCCTCAAAGGAAGGGGAGAGGCCATGGTGTGAAGACCTGGGACTTGGTCAAAAACCCCTTAGCCTGGGAAGTCTTTAGATGTTAGAGATGTGTAGCATGTGTCAGGTCACAAAACGTGTGTGCATGGGTGACTTCCGTGCTTTCCAGCCACTGCCAGGACTGCCAGGACTGTCTGGGGCTGAAAGGAAAATCGGGGCAAGAGGGAGCTCTCTTCCCAAGGCTCCTGCCATGGCCAAATCTTCTTCGCCATCCATCACCTCTGCCAGAGTTACATCCACAACTGTCCTGGACTGAGATTTCTCTGCTTTTAAAAGAGGAGTAATTCTGCTTTATTGATCTTCACCTTGCTGAATTAACTCACGTTTAAACAATAATTATGTTTTCACCCTGGAGAGGAGACAAAGAGATAAACGTCTCTGGAAATGAATGCGTTTCAGATGCCACATGCCGGGGTTAATTTATTGATGTGTGGAGAAGCTGCTATCTCCTTGCTTTCTCACCAGCAACAAGCAATTAGCCCACATCATTCCTCTCAAGCAAGAGGAAGAAGGATTTTATTTCATTACTTTCCCTCCTCTCTCACGCCGTTCATCCCTTGTGCTAATCTTTTGCAATCGGTTCTGCTGCAAAGCCTCCCGGGAGCTCCCATTTGCCTGCGCCTTGTTAGAAATGCTGACCACATTTCAGCCAAGGCGTAGTCTAGGCTGGTAAACAGCCTTTGAAATGCACAGCAAAGTGATGCAAATTGACTTCACCAAGAGAAACCAGCAGTAGTTACCTCCCTCTCTGCCTTCCCTGCCTTGTCCAACCTTCTCCATGTTGTGCTGTGGGTCTACAGGGATGCCAGCAGCTCTTTCAGGGCCCTGTCTCCTCCTGCATTAAATGTCCCATCCAAGTCTCCAGGGCATCACAGTGGTAAAATTAAACTTACAGCTTTTGTTTTAAGGGCATTTCCTGGGATTTGCATGTGTTTTCTGGATAGCTCGTGGTTTATGGTTTTTTACAGAAGTACATGGTTTGCTTGTAGATATCCATATGGCTTTTGCTTGTTATTTGAATGATACTTGGTTAAGGTACCTGTATTCCAACAGAGCTACCTAGGCCATGAGGCTTGCTCTGGTGCCTATGAGTTGGTTGCATAAGGAAGATGTTGTTTGAACTTCTCTGAAGGAGAGATAACATCAGGCCGAAAGAGATCTTAAGTCACTCAGATCAGGTCCATCTGTCTCCTGTAATGCTGCAAGGGACGTGTGACAGGGATGTCACACATGGGCTTTGTGGCCAGCAAAGCTGCAGGAAGTCACGGGCTTAGGGTACAGCATTTCTTCTTGGCTTGGGGCTGTTCATGAATACTCCCTAACAGCATGACTTTGTTCCT